CCTCGATGGCCAGTCCATGACGTTGATTCCAGCGTTTTGAAGGAAATTTCGTGTCAACATCGCGGTATGCGGCCGAGCATTATCATGCTGGAACTGTAGACGTGGGCCATGAGCCGCCATGAAAGGAAGGAGTTCAGGGTGAGCACCTGGTCGCGTGTAAGCAGCAGCTGTGAGGTTTCCACAGATGACCAGAAGTCGGGAACGGTTGTTCCCACAGAAAGCACCCCACACCATTCATCTTCCGCCCCCGAATCTGTCGACTTCCTGTACACAAAATTGGGCATACCGTTCACGACGTCGTCTCCAGACTCTATGACTGCCGTCCGCGAATCTGAGGGTAAACCTGGATTCATCGCTAAAGACGACTCGATTCCAGTCTCTCTGGGTCCCTCGGAGGTGACGTTGGGCCCACGGCAGACGTTGATGTTGATGAAACGGCGTCAATATTATTAATGATATGGACGTCGAGAATGGAGATTGGCAGCCCGCAACCGATTTCGAATGGTCTGTGAGGACAGTCGACCTCTAAACATCTCAGCCCTGGTTCGTGTAGCCGGCAGAAATCTGTCATGTAGGTGACGTAGGACGATTTGACGGTCTTCTGCTCGTGACGTCACACGTGGACGACCCGACCTTGGGCGATCAGAAGTGGTGCCAGTTTGTTGTAGACGACCTCGCAAGTCAGACACAGTCAATGACTGATCTTCCCGCTTGCAACATGCCAACAGCACGTTCACGTTGCACTTTTGACAATAGTGGCATTTCAAGTACCGTTAGAATTGTGGTTTAAAAGTGTTTTTTCAATTCTTGAGGCCAATGCAAACACGTGGATATGAAGAAAACTTCGATGCGAAGATCACGTGATCGACTGCACGTGCAAAACCTGATTTGGCACTAACATCATTTGCACGACGAATGGATGGGTTTGAGTGGGTTTTGCTAACGTTTTTCTAGAGTCGAAAGATAGGGATCCCATCAGAGAAAAATTATTCATTATTTTTCAAATTACATTTTGTGAAGTTTCTTTTTTGACTCAGTATATATCAAGCTCTGACATGTCATCAAAGAGTCGATCACGATCTCTTATGATGCCTTTTCTGGTTCAAGGATCTGTGAGGAAATACTGACACAGAAATTCCTCTACTGACATTAGGTTTGTGGCTTGCTGTCGCCTGGCACATTCAATTAGTATAGAACCAGTCCTCAAACGTTTGATAGTTTTAACATCACCTGCAATTCCATAAATACCCTTTGCAACCGCAAAAGGGTTCAATTTGATTGGTGTCTTATCAGGTGTTTCCATCACCAGGAATCGTGGCCAATACTCCACTGGGTTTGTTCAGAATCAACTTCTAGAGTACGTTTTGATTTTTTGATGGGGGTTTGAGAAGCCATGGTTGTGTGATTAAGGTTCATCATCCCTACTCCCCACCCGCCACCGAGTGCAAATAAAGGCAGTATCCCTAATGCCTGTGGATGTCCAACAGACAGATACCAGGGATATAGGGATGATATACAGCAGTAGTAAGTCCTACCAGTTTGGCCCATGAGCCATCATCTTCTGGCACCAGCATCTAGGCAAATTTTCTCAAATTTGAAAATCCATGTAATAGATTATACACAAAATAAAACATTTCAATAATGTGTCCAAATAGAACCAAGCCAAAATGATAGAACACCGAAAAATTAGTGCTCAGGACTCGGCATGACCAGCCGATTGGTTGAACCGGGCCCATTCAACCACCCGTCTAGGGTAGTAAGGGGGCGAAGTGGTGTGTTGGGCAAAGGAACACTTTACCTGGAACCAGTGCCCTCAACCATCAGACTCCCGCCCTCCACCGACACAGGGGCGCAACCCACGGCAAACGGGTTGATGGACCAAATAAACCCCGGGTCCACAACTGGGGGTCGAAGAGCTCTTGGCGTTACCCAGCACCCACCACAAGGAGGTGACTCTTCACGAGTGCCACTACTACACCACTGAGGCAGAATAGACATACTGCAGGAAAAGGCATACGTACTGCAGGAATAGGCACACTAGGCATACTATAGGAATAGGCATATTGCATGAATAGGCACACTACAAGAATAGGCATAGTGCAGAAATAGGCACACATACTGCAGGAATACGCACATTACAGGAATAGGTACTGAATGAATAGGCATACAGTAGGAATAGGGAAAACTATAGGAATAGGCATACTGCAGGAATGAAGGCATGCTGCAGTAGAAGGCATAATGGAGTAATGGACATACTATGGAAAAGACAATATGCAGTAATATTTATAGCATCTGATTTATTTGTGACATGTTTTAGAAAACGTTTCCAAGTCAGTATTTAGGAGTAAAGGTGTATATACAAATGATGAATTTGGTTCTGGACCTTATGAGACCAGACAAAACCTTTGACTAACAGTAGTTCTATGTTTTTCATTAAGCCTCAGATTGTTATGGTTTTCTCCACAATTAAACTTAACTCAAAAGTTAATGTGTAGCTCATCCAGTGGCTGATCTTGAAAACCCTGACACGTTTATAAAATATTTATATCTTGCTGTCATACTGAGAGAATGTGTTGTATGTTTTAATTTGATCCGATACAAGGATATATTTTGGTGTAAATTATGTTTATATTTACTTTTATTACAGAGGAATCTATTTTAAACTGACTTACATGGTATATTCATGCACCCTTAAACAGAAACATCAAAATCATATTCATGTGAGTTTACATGATATATTTTTTTATTTATTTTCATAAAGATTCAAGAAAAGGTTTCATTAAAATGTTTATTCGTCACAACGTCATAGCCTTAGGAAAGAACATGGCGAGTGTTACCTGGTATTGTGTGTTGTGTATGCGTGTATGGTGTGTGTTAATGTGTGTGGATATATTGTTACTTTCTCTGGTGTCATGTGCATACCTATAACCTTTGGTAACTTCGAGAGCCAAGATGAGGGTCCGACAGTCAAGACCCTGCGTCTGCTGAACCCAGTCACGGCTCAGGGGCTACCAGGTTTGTTGAATTTTATCACACTGAATATTTTTCATTGCTTCAAAAGATAACATGTCAACTTACTGTCAGAATACATGGCGTCACACAACGTAGTAACATTTCCTGGTAACATGTCAACTTACTGCCCAAATACATGCCATCAAAAAATATAGTAACATTTCCTGGTAACATGTCAACTTACTGTCAGGAATACATGGCGTCACACAATGTAGTAACATTTTCTGGTAACATGTCAACTTACTGTCAGAATACATGGCGTCACACAATGTAGTAACATTTCCTGGTAACATGTCAACTTGTTGTCAGAATATATGGCGTCACACTATATAGAAACATTTCTTGGTAACATGGCAACTTGCTGTCGGAATACATGGCATCACACAATGTAGTAACATTTACTGGTAACATAAAAATAGAAGTGATGAAAATATAGCTATATTCTCAAAAGCGTGAAAACCTTTTCCAAATATCAGAAAATCCAAGCAAAAATAATCGTTTGCACATGCACAACCAAAAAGTTACAAAAACATTTTCCGAATCCCAAAGAAAGTCCATTGACTACATGTGTGTCATAAGTATCCATTTATAAATAAGTATCAGCGCGTGATGGTGCCACATTGTCTTGAAAACTCACGTGAGAGTATGCTGCCCGACTGACAGCACCCAATCTGATCAAACACGAGGATATATGACACAAGAAGGGCCCTCCACAAGTCAACAATTACTTATCCGCCCAAACCGACTTCATGGGTTGTCACATGCAAAAGAGCGGTGCAGTTGATATAACTGGATCACTGAAAATCTTTTAACACATACACTTGATCAGTTCCGGGCTGCTAGCTTGAATGATGCCCAACTGTCCAACTTTGCACCATTGACTTGGTTCTGGAAACGTTAAGGTGGGTGTTTCTCGTCAAACTGTGGGACTATATCCGGAGATCTACCGTTATGATAGTTTAGTGTACCAAACACCAAAACCACAGGATAGCGATTACACATGGCACGAAAAGTCCTGAAATAAAACTTTTAGTCATCCAAGGGCGTCCGTTAAGCCTGCTCTCTAACTTGTATTGAGAGAGTTCTGTTTCTTCAGTTCTTTTCTTTCGAACTTTGGAAATCTCCTTCACAATGCTTCGATGTTTATTTGCAAAAGCTAACTCACGAGCTGTTTTGTTGTCTTCATCGACCTTCTGAGTGTCTACCTTCTCCCTGAGAAAGAGTTTTACTATTTTTAGATGTCCTTCCTCGGCAGCAATGTGAAGAGGAGTTCTTCCTTTCCAATCAGACAAGTTCGCATCAGCCTTGTTTTTCAGAAGGGATTGTACAGCTTCAATGTGGCCGCCCTGAGTTGCTAAGTGCAGCGCGGTTTCAGATTTCTCGGTCATCAGGTTAACCTCGCTCTTGTATTGCAAAAGTCTTCCTAATACATATTCATAACCCCCACATGGCTGCGTAGTGAATCGGTGCCATGCCATGAATATCTTTAAGATCCACAGACACACCTCGGACAAAACGCTTTCCGTCTTCTCTAGAAGTTGCTGAATTTCTTTCTGTGCTGAGAAGGGGATCCATAACAGAGTATCGTCCATTTGTAGCTGCAATATGGAGAGGCGTCATCCTGTCCATGTTTCCTTTCTGGATGTCTAAACCTTCTTTTAAGAGAAGTGTGATCACCTCTGTCTGGCCCGTTATTGCTGCCAGATGCAAGGCCGTGTTTCCAAAGGCATCACAGTGTTTAATGCATCTATGATCTGATATCAGTAACAATTCTAGAATAGACACAGACCCAACAAGTGCTGCTATCAGAAAGCTTGTCCGACCATGCTTATCTTTGAGGGAGTGTATTGGCTCGAGCTTTTATCAAAGTTTCTGCCACCTGTTCATGCTTACAATACAAAGCCATTGCCAACGCGGTCTCCCCCTTTCTTATTCAGAACATCAACATCAATTTGATCCTGATTCAAGAGAGAGATAACAGTTCCAGGTTATCCGAGGCTGGCTGCGTAGTGAAGGGCTGTGTTGCCCCGTTTACTGGTGGAGTTGACCTCCACATATTTCAACAAAACCTCACATCCTTCTGCATGGTTCCACTTAGCACAGGTTCTAAATAATTCTCCACTACGTTGTATCTCTTTTGCTGCAGCATGGGGCATTATTCTCAATCTTCTCGATAAGCAGTTTCCATGAGTCTTACATTACCATATCTGCTACACATTCGAAGGCATTGCATTGTGGAAATACCTCCTGAAGCTACTTCCAACAATTTCAGTTCTAAGGAGGGTATGTTGCAAATAGGAATGAAGGACAGTATTTGTTTCTTTGAGTGTGCATCTCTCATTTTAAAATTCTGTCTTTGAAGCAGTGTTTGAATTGCGTCGCACACGACTGGGTGTCAGTGACATGTGGGACATGACAAACTGAAGGTGACCTTTCAACAGTTCTTCACACAGACGTTGTGCAAGAACCGTTGCTGACTTTTGGTGGACGATAATGGCATAATCAAACTCTGCAACTTCATTTTGGCGCCAAGCGCATATGCTCTAAATACTTGAGACTGCAATGAACTATAAATGTAGTTTCATCATGTTGAGCCAAAACCTTCGCAACTACCTCTGAAGTCCATGAATGTGGAGAACACGAATCCATGAGCTGACGTCTTAAGGATGTAGCTGTCCATCTGTGTAAGTGCCTCAGAGGCTGCTTACTTCTCAAAGGAGATGCCCCGGCCGCTGTGCACAGTCTTCTTAGTTCCACATTTGAGAGTTCAGCTGGATGTGGGATGCAGTTCTGATGGATACAGATTTGTAAAGTAGACAGAATCCCTTCATTGACCATCAAGTTGTTGAGGATCTGTCGAAACCTACTTTCCCTGTCCATTGCCTTAGTGTTAAAAACTTCATGTCTTAGTGTTATCATCGTACACAACTTGTGTAGCAGGGGTGATGTTGTCTTTGAACAATCAGTGACATAATCATTTGATGTTTTATCAGCTGTCCTGTCAGTATCCTGTGTTATGTTCTCTTCTGCTTTATAAATCTTTTCAAAGTCAATTCTTTGACGTTCAGAAAAAATGTATTTTTGAAAGGAGTGATATATTTGAGTGCTGTTTGAAACACATTTTCCTGAACAGGAATATTGTATATACCACTTGACATCTTGAAGCCGACGCTACTTGTTCCTGACTTACGTCTAGCAGGACAGGATGCCATTTTCGGTAGTGGTCAAACTGAAAGTTGGGATTGCCAAAAATGTTGTTGAAAAAGAATGATATATCTGTCACTCTTTTGGATCCGAAAATAATCCTGTGGTGTTTCCACAACATAAACTTTCCATTTCTTTTGTGCATTTCAGACAAAACCTGGAAAGCAAGAGTAGTTTTGCCATCACCAGGCTGACCAATGATCGTTGTACAAGAATGTTCCTTAAGGCATTTTGTCACATGAGGTAGCAACGGTGAAGATGCTGTTCCTGAAATCCGTTCCTTGATGGTTTGCTCAGCGCAGTCTGAAATTGGAATATGCAGTCATAAATATTCATCATAGTGGTATTTTAACTAAATATTTTATGCAAGATTGAAGGATTGGCATTTGAACACAAGAGCTGAAAAAACGTCGTTTTAGAAATTCATGTTAGATCAGATAAGCAATGAATACATGATATTTGTCTGGATAACAACTTCTCTTTTTGTTCTTCATAGGATGTTTCAGAGATAATTATTTCTCCTTCATCAAGTGAATACTGAGTCAAAAGTGCACAGAGTCAATATATATAACATTGCCACAAACATAATGTAAGGCAGCATTGGACAAAGCGTATTCGGAAATAGTCCTACCACGTAGACTGTCATCTCTGGACTTATCTTGCAGCTGTATTTCACCTGCTTCCCTTGCATCATCACTTGATTGTATTGCCTCCATGTCGTCATCGTCAGATTCCGTCACCTCCGACCAGTACCCATCCTCATTTCTAGAACGGCTCATGTCATCAGCACTTTCATAAGTAGATGTTTCTCCAGAAAAACTGAGTTCTGAAAGTAAGTGAATACTTGAAAGTACAAATGCAGCATGGCCTGAAGATCAAAACATGAATGGCATCAGCTGCATCATTCAATTTCGGCTGTATCATAATCTTGCGATAATACCAGGTGGGGGAAAAGGTAGGTTGCAACATCACACAGAGCGACAAAAAGCAAACAGGAAGGAAAGGCTGAACCATTACTTTGTCATACAGTTTTTCCATGTCAAGAATAAGAATCCTGATGTATAGATCCAAATGCTTTTGAAATGGACAAGGCTGTTTCACTGGGTCGTTTATATTTAGCTAATGTATATATGAGTGGAAGGGAACTGGGTATTTGTCCATTATGGAATGATATCTTCCATATACCAGGCCCAGATTTCTCGAAACAAACTTAGTTTTTACTCAAATTTCAAACTAGGTTTGACACTTTGAAACAACTAAATTATCACTTTCTCAGTGAACTTTATTTTTAAATTCTTTATTTTTATGAACCCATATGGTATTTATTCCACTGGTCCCAAATACTTTCGGGGAGAATATGTAAAATCATTCTTCTACATTTAGTTTCAGCAATACGGTCACTATTTGCAACATGGATTTGGTTGTACATTTTCCTGACCCAGCATTAGATCTCTATTGGTCAGATTGTTTTGTAGCATGAGATTGCCCATGAATCACTAAAAAGCCTTTCCTTACACTGTTTTGAGAGCCTTTAGAGAGTATTTGTAGATGTATGATTTTTTATAATTTACAGGGGAGTCAAAATAATGAATTGGTTTATTCTTACCACTGTTGTCGTCTCTTAATTCACCTGCACCCTCAAGGGAATGCGGTCGTTTTCGTGTGTGGCGTTTTCTCGAGCTGTCAGAATACCAAAGCAAAATTTGATATATCACTGTGATATACATTTTAAACTCTCTGATTTCATTCTTCCTGTTGTAAGAATATCTAATGTAGATTAGTTTACAACCAGTTAGTAATTCCATTACATAGTTACCCTCAGAATTGTGGAAAAAGCCAAATGACAGTTTGTCCACTTTTTCATAGTCCGGTTGAAGTTTCTTGATGTCATTCATTTTCATATTGGCTGCGACGATGTATTTGTATGTTAGGATAGTTATCTCTAGAAACGTCTTCCAGTTCGTCAGAAGCAAGTATATGAGACACAATATCATTGCATGTTGTTCTCTGGAAAAATAAAGATATGTTATTTAGTCCAATTCCTCATTTATCATTGTAAAATACATCACCTTCCTTCTTACAGGTACCCATTGGGCAGTGCAGAAAACACACATTAGCATTGGCCCGGTAAGGTATGGAACAGCTATGGTGGTTGTATATATTCTGAATTATGAGTCCAACCACTCACTGCAGCTTTTTCTTGAGGTCCTCCTGACAAGAAGGATGGTTGGTCCCTCTTCTCTAGCCTCCTTTGCAATCTTCGATCATAAGTATCTCTGAACATCCATCTGCTTCTGTAATTGTGGCCTTGTCAATCACTACCATGTCCTTATCAATGCTTTTCCACCAACATGCAGAACTGTTGTTTGACAATAAGCGCAGTTCCGGTTTCATGCTGTCCTTCTGTGAGATCAGTAACTGCTACTGCAGCAAGAAAGGCACGCATTATGTTCATTACATTTCACATTGTTCATGCTAAGTGCATGCAAGCTGCATAAAAGCAGAGGTTTTGTCTCTCACTGACCTCAAGGCATCGGCGAATAGGTTGTCTGATTCTAAATCACCAGGGTCCAGGAGACCATAGACTGCACTGAAATGTTCATCTGTATACTTCCGGATTTGATTTATTGCTCTCCGGGCAAGACGGAGAACATGTTTCACCAGGTTCGTCTCTTTCTCACACACAAAGCAGAAAATCATTGATGGACGATCTGGAAGAACATAGAATACTTCCGATATCACTCCATCTTGAATATAAACCTTTGGAAGATTCAACACCACTGCTAGTGATCTTGTCACAAAAGGACAATCCTCCTACAAAATGTT